CGCGCGGAGCCGCCCCCGGGCCAGCCCAGATTGGGGGACAATCCCCACAGTGCAGGAGAGAATAGGGCAGGGGCAGGGGCAAATGATTCACCCCTGCCCCTGCCCCTGCCCCACTCCCTCCTGCACTGTGGGAGTGTCGATCTGTCCCCCACACCTTCCAAGCCCAGCCAGTAATAAAGAAAGTAGATTGAAAAACACTTACCTGCCTTCTGGGCCAGCTGCGATCCTGGCTGCACAGGGTATCTGTGTGCACGCACCCCTCCCCCCACCGCCCACCCTCCGCTGCAGCAGCCTGCAGCCGGACTGCCCTGGTGTTTGTGGAGGCTAAGCCCCAGTAGCCCCCCAACTTCCACCGCCTATGGTTCCCATATTGGACATGCATACTCTGCAATGGAATAACACTAGGCAATAGCAGTGGTTCATAATGTAGCTGGGTTTGCTACATAAGCTTAGCATATAGGTATAGATATATTTCAATGTTGACAATTAGCTATTTTTGGACAATATCAAACACAAATACCTAAATCCTAGTTTTCAGTTATGGCCTCTAATATTTCCCACCAGAGACACAAGCATGCATATATGCTTTACTGTTTTTACCTGAAACCTGTATAGACAAAAACAGATACACATCCAATTTTATGAACAAATATCCTTGCTGTATTTTTGTGGTCTTAGAATTGTGAGGTGGTTTGAGACCAGCTGAAAATTTGGACTCACATATTTAAAATCTTGTGAGCCTAAGAAATGAGCTTCAGTGGAACTACTCACCGCATAACGTTAAGCATATATGTACAGTCTTAATAAATAGGGATCCAGGTTTTCCATTTCCCATGGGGGAAATAGAAAAAAATGCAGATGTTTCCCTTTTAACAGAGAAAAATGCAGATTTTTCATTTAAAAAGAGAAACATGCAGATTTTGCACTTTTGCAAAGAGCTCTGTGAAGGCTGGCAGAGTTCCAGCCTGAAAGGGGCTGGAGGGAGTGGGAGGAGGGTGGTCAGCAGGAGGCACATGTTCATGTGCACATGTATGCACAGACATGGTCACCAGGCAGCCTGGAGAGCAGCTTCTGCACGTAAGTCTGTTGCGGGGGAAGGGGCAGTTGAAACCCCCAGGGAGGGAGGGAGGGAGTTGGGCAAGGCTGGGGCTAGGGCTGTTGGGTAGGGAGTGAGGAGCACCAGCAGGACCAGGGACTGTGGCTTGGGAGTGAGGGGCCTGGACCTGCATCCTGGTGAGCTAAGGGGGCAGGGAGGGCTCTGATTTTCCATGATAAAAAACCCAAAATCAAACCTCAAAATGTATAGGTACTTCAAATTTATTTTATTATAGTGATTGAGGCACTGGTAAGCTTCCAAATTGCTTTAAAATTGTAAATATATCAATAAAACATTGTTCAACTGATACCTACACACACACACACACACACACACCCCCCTATACCTATATATTAGTGGCATTTCATTTTAATCATGGATTTGGGTTTTTTAATGAGAAGTTGTGATTTTTTTAAATCAGAGAATTTATGATTTTTAAACAGCAAGAACTAGGATCTCTATAAGATAGGGACTTTATTTGGTTTTTTGGAGGAAAGACTATTGAAGCCTCTAAGTACAATCACAATACAATTTATAAATGCTAATTGGCCCTTTATCTTTTACTATTATTGCACAGTATAGTATAAGAATGCTTGGTATTTTATATAACAACTAAAATGCTTTAATCCTGCAATTTACAACATGTGGGTGCAGCAGTCTGTGTACACATTGTTAACTGCAAGACTGGCACCAAGGGGACTAGTCTAGAGATAGAGAAATTGCATGATCATGTAGGTTAGTGTTCTGGGCTAAACAGATAATCACCCTAAGTCTTACTAATATAAGACTGAGTGAATATTAAATATTATACAATATTAGCTGAGTTTGGAGACAGTACACAATTATTATATATGAACTCAAGGTAGAGAGAATAATACTTTATTTCAATTTCCACACAAAGGACCATTTTCTTTGGGGGAAAATGGCTCTTTCAGAACTGAAGGACTATAGCCCAGAGAATTTGTTCTTGACCTCTAGCCAAGAAACAGAGAAAGAAAGAATTGAGGATAAATGTCTAACACTGAAGCAGTTGACAAGCTTTTAGCATCCTTCTGAACTTAAAAAGTTTTGAACATTTTAACTATACCACTATTAGTTAAAAATGATACAGGTCTCCTGAGCATCTGTACAGTTCTACTGGCATTAAAGTACTTCTACCAGTGGAACTTATACCCACTTGAGGAGGATATTGTGATCCATGGCTTTGTCACTTCTAGATTAACATTTTGGAGTATTTCGTACGTAAGCTAATATTGAAAAAAATTGTTTTCTCTCTTAAGCTGTCTTGTAAATAGTATTCCCTGCTATGCTATGCTCTTTCAACCATTCAGCATAAGACAAGGGGAATAAACTGGAATAAATAAAAGTGTATTTTTAGTAAGGGGTTTATTTGTGTCATTAAATGTCAGTAATATAAATAATTTCCCCAACCGATTATACTGGTACAAAATCTGTGTAGACCAGACCTGAGTATAAGTGATAGAAGAAGGGGTACAGCCCTCAAGTATTTTCTCCTTATTTGATTGTTTCCATTTTATCCAGGTAACTATGACTTAGGTGCTTCCAACCAAAAGCTTATTTTCTGTTCTAGGTGTTGGGCCAGTCAATCATTATAACATTTGCTGATGGAAGTTTATTATCCAAAGACTGATGGCATTTGACCACATGGTGTTTTGCAATCTCCCTGGACTGACTTAGATGGGAATAGCGGAAAACCATGTTCAAGCCTTAAGGCACTCCACATGTGAGAAATTTCAAGGTGACAGAACTTGCCAATTACATCCTTTGGGATCTGTCATTAAGAGCAGAAACAGTTTATTGCAACATTGTCAATCCCTGCCAAATAGCACAGGAGCTGGCTGTACTGATAGATTCTGCGAGTTCTAGTATCATTGATATTGTGGGTTTGGGTAGGTTTTTATTTTGTTTGGGTTAGTTTAGGTGGAGAGTTTACAGTTTTATTAATCATTTCATCTGTAGTAATAATGCTCTTTGCTACTGTATATTCAGCATGGCAGTATCTGTAGTAGGGGCATAGAGCATAAGGTGGTGCTTTCTAAGCTCTTTGCCATGAAAGATGAATGCACAGGTTCTTGCAAATTTATAGAATGCCTCCTGGATGTTAAGTGACCTACTGAAATATAGGGGTGAGATTGCAGCTAGCCTTCTTGTATATAAGTGTTTAATAAAAGAGTTTGGGAATCTTATGACCCTTGTTCTTATATTCTTAGAGTGTGAAGATGGGGACAGGTGTTAAGTACTGCCAAATGCTCTAAAACAGTTGTGCACAGGACCATAGTTCCATCTTTCGTGCATGGCTGATGGACTGAACCAGCACACAGGAAAAGTGTACACAATACCTAAAAGAAATTGTTGGAACAGCCCATAAGCACACTTCCTCCCATACTACCGAAGATAGTAGTATTAAGTACTGCCAGATGCTTGATTGTCTTCAGGAACTATCAGTATTGCAATGGTTCTAATCTTTCCCCAGGACAACTCTGGCTCATAAAGCCACAATCCAACCCTATTTTTAACACTCTGGATAGATTTCTGCTGACATGACATTAATACTCCTTAGTTCCTGGTCTTGTAGCTATTAAACATTTTCCTTGAACGCAACATGAGTTCAGTCCGTGTACAACAGGATTAGGCTGTACTTCAAAGAATGTGTTGCATTATTTTTCTAGAATAGCACACACAGCACTCAGATTTTACTTTTCCCATATTTCAGATGACTAACCTTCCTAGGCTTGTTATCACAATCCTTAGAATGAGTGGCTTATTGTAACACTGTTCAACATTTAATCAGGCTTGTAATAAATAAATACCCAGATCTTCTAGCACTCTTCTTTAATACATCTCAAAACACTTGACAAGGTGGCAAATATCACTATCCCCATTTTATATTAAGATTTCAGTTCTGGGAAGGTATCACAGTAGACTAAGAGGTTTATATTTCTGTGAAGAATTTGGAGGGAAGTTTTGTAGAAATCATAACACTTCCCTGTAATAAACCATGAGGATACAGCCCATATAAAATTACCTTTGTAACTGACAGAACACTGATATGATAAGCTCCACCATACACAAATAATAGAAAGCTAACAATGTGTAGGCGTCTACTAATGAGAGTAAGCATATTAGGTGTTTAGTGGGAGGAAGTGTTGACACAAGGCTGGTTGCAATCAGATTAAAAATCTGTATAATGGAACATATATGTGGGTGGGATCGTTTAAAAGGAACCTTTTCTTGCTGGGTTGGAAAAACACACCTTCCTCACTGGAGTTTCAAGTAGTCCATATGGATTTAGTTTCAGCTTTGAAATATTCACAAATACACATTATTTTACTAGGATCTCTTATACTCTGCAAACCCTAGTTATGCTTAACATAAGCCTTTTCTTTGTGAGGTCAAATAATCCAGATGACAGTCATTTATCCAAGTGAGCTGTTATCTTGTGAAAAATCAGGAAAGACAAGAGTTTCTAGTATCTGATGAATCACTGACTTCAGGAACAGCACAGATTGGCCAATGGTGAGCATCATTTATACACGTTGTGCCTTTGGTTTCTATATTTTATATTAAGTAATCATTGGATAAAATGATAATCCATGGAAAAAGGACTGGAAAACAGGATTATACAAAATGGACACCAAGAAATCAGGCATCTCACTAGTTTTGTGCTTCCTCTGACCATGTTTTAAAGAAAGTGGCAACTACCACTGCTTTTTATACGGAGCCCAATCCTGTAGGAATGCTCGCCGAATACCAGATCAAGCCTGTTTGGGGAGCTGGACAAAGGAATGCATAGTTTATAGATCTCAGTACAGTGTAAGTATAAGACTGACATCAAGCTAACTCTTACGTTAGGTAGTTTGTTTGAGTATGCATAGAAGCAGAACTTCATATGTCCTGGGAACTTCAAGGTCAAGAACAGAGGCACTTATATAATGAATGTAGGCGCCTCCAGTGTTAGACAAGAACCTAGTGGGGATATTCAGGATTACATTATTAAACGTATCTCTGAGTGACTGCCTGACTCCCACTTTAGGTGCATAACACTTCTTTTGGATCTGGTCCTACATTTCTTCAACACTGCTAAGATAACAGCACATTTTTTGCAGTGCTGACAGGTGCCCCAGAATCATGAACTATATTGTCTCAGTAATGTTAAAGAATAAATAATCCCAAAGTAGTTTTTTAGAAACTGCTACAAGTTAAAAGTATTATAGCTCCATGTTAGGCTTTCAGTATGAATAAAATAGAGTATTTTCATTCAAATGCTGTCAACCCCCACAAATTGTGGCAGAGTACATAGATAGACTACCTTTCTAAAACTGTGTTGAATTAATTCCCTAAAGTAATAAGTTTCTCTTTTGCTGTAAAGTGGATCTTTTGTATGTCATCTTCCATATGTTTTTACTTTGTTTGTTTCCATTTTTAACAGGGGCATTCTGTAGGCCCATTTCTGTATTCTTTACTCAATGAAATTTCGAATGAAGTCAGTATGAGTTTTGGAAGCCCATGTCCGAATGATTAATAAACTCGGTAAAATCAGCTACGTTCTGCATTTTATAAATCCTCACAGCAATAGATTTATCTCAGGTAAGTTCAGGAACTAAAAAAAAAAAAGTTTAAACACCACCTTATGAAATTTCCCTTAACATCAAATTACTT